CAGTCATTTAGCATTTATTTGTGGTTGTTTTATTTTATTTTTTACAGTCATTTTGTGTGTTTGTGTTATTTTTGTGTCTCCGTAGTTATTTTCTGTGTGTGATTGTTTGGTGTCTATTTTTCTGTCGTGTTGCGTCTCTTTATAGTCATTTGGTCTGTTTGTGGTTATTTTATTTGTGGTTTGTTTGGTGTATACTTTGTCATTCTGTGTCTCTGTGTAATCATTTTGTCTGTTTGTGGTTGTTTTGTGTGATTTTCGGTTATTTTGCATTTTCTTTTGTGGATGTTTTATTTGTTTGTTTTTTTTCAGTCACTTTGTGTCGTTGAGTTTGTTTTGTGTGTCTGTGTGTTCTTTGTCATTTTGTGTCTCTTTGTCATTTTGTAAATCTCTGTGGCTGTTCTGCGTTTCTTTGTCATATTGTGCTTTGTGCCACTTTGTTTTGTGTGTTTTTACCCTGATTTTGTGTTGCTCTTTGGTCCATTAGTCCACCACAGGTAGATGTTTTGTGTGTTTTTCTTATTTTGTGTCTTGTTTTCGGTCATTTTGTGTATTTTTGTGGGTGTCATTTTGTGTCTCTGTGGTTGTTGTCTTTCATTTTGGCAGTTTTGTGTGGTTTTGCAGTCATTTTGCTGTTGTTTTGTGAATCTATGTGAACATTTTGTGCATGTTTTTGGTCATGTTGTGTCTCTTTGGGGTTGTTTCATGTATCTGCATGTGTGTGTGAGCACAAATCAGTGTGTTTTTTTGCCTTTTGGACCATTTTTAGTGACATGTCTTTTGTTCTAAACTGCCCAAACAGACAAAATGACCTCATGTCTGAATGTTTCACCTCAGTGGAGCTGAACATCAGAGAATAACTCAGTCAGCCAAAGCATTATTGGGTTTTGTGTCTCTTCCCAGTGCTGTCATTTATTAAATTAAATTTATTAGAGAAAGTGAACCTCTGAGACCCATTTCTGTTCCCAGTGTCGACCAGAATCCGTTGCAGTTTTGGGGTTTCGAAGCTTCCCCACGAGCGAGTGATGGAGCTTTAATGCTATTCATGCAGCTCTGCTCCCACGTCTGATTGAAAGGAGAAAGTTTGCGGCCCTTCTCCGGAGGTGGTCAAAGTAATTTTGGGGAATGTAGGCGAGGCAGGTCGAGGGAAAGTGGGTACACGAAAAAGGTAAACTGCAGCACTCCATCACAGAATGACTCCTGGGCTGTTTGAGCATCGCAGATTGATTATATTCGACAGCGGAGGAGGATTTGAGGTGGATTTTTTTTTTCTGCAGACACTCGGCAGAAGTTGGAGCAGCGATGACCAGCTCTGCAGACGTATCATTACATGGTGAAGGGGGAAGGGATCAGCCTGGATCTTATTACCAGCTGGCTCTACCAGCTTTCCACTGGACTGCTCTCTAGCCAGAGCCACTGACTTCAAAGATATTCGACTCCGCCGTCGTAGCCGGAGCACGAAACTCTACTTTTTTTTTTTTGTCTGCAGTTGGAAGCAGGGTTCCTCCTAATGTCAGTAGTAACCCTCTGAACCCCTGAGGGTTGAAAGGCGTGTTGTCTTTCAAAAAATCGCCAGAATTACACCAATTATCAGAACCAGAAACTGTAAAAACAGAAAGAATTGTGGGGTTTGCACCTTACTGAAAGGTCCTTGAACTAATCACCTGTGATGTGCTGTTCTGCCTGGAAAATCCAAACTAAATCAGACTGTACTGTCGTCAGATTTCATCAGAATCACGTCGTTCTACTGATCTCATTCAGAATTTAGCCTTACAACCCCGACACCTGCTGGGGGTTTATTTTCTCTTTCTTTTTTAAAATCATTTTGGACAATTTTAGAGGAAAATCCAGCCTACTGGATCAATAAATAAATGTAGTATGGCTCAGAAACAGAGAACAGAGGAGCCAGTTGTTGGAGATACATCCAGCATGGAGGAACATCTTTCTACAGATGATGAGCAGAGACTTAAAATTGGACTCAAAATTGGACTCATAATGACTCAAATATTGTAATTTTCAACAAATTTGGGGTCATTCTGAACAAGTTTCAGGTCATTTTGAACCATTTTTCATACATTTTGGACATTTTTTTGTTGCTTGGAGCCAATTTTGAATCAATTTGGGCAAGTTTCAAGTTCCTTTTTCATAAAAAGAGGTAAATCCAACCTACTGGATCAATAAATGAATGCAGCATGATTCGGAAACAGGGAACAGAGGAGCCAGTTGTTGGAGATACATCCAGCATGGAGGAACATCTTTCTAGCGTTGACCGACTCAAAACTGGTGTCAAAATTGCTCAGACTGGTTCCAAAACTGCCATTTTGGACAATTTTTAAATAATTCTGGACAAGGTTTAAGTCATTTCAGGCTTTAAAAAAACAAACAAACAAACAAAAAAACCTTTCGACACTTACCCTTGAGGGATTGGCCTACATGGAAAGAATCGGCTGCACCAGAACCAAAATTTTGGTTTTGTGTGTGTGTATGGTCAATTTGTGTCTGTTTTTGGTAGTTTAGCATGTTCTGTGCATCGGTATGTATTTAATTACTGTCTCTCTATCCATTTTGTGTCTCTTTGTCGTCGTTTTGTGTATTTTTGTTAATTTTGTGCATGTATGTGTGTGTTTTGTGTGCCTTTGTGTTAACTTTTTGCCTTTTTGTTGTCATTTTGTGCATCTATGTTGTCAGTTTGTGCAAATATGTGCATTTTTTTGTGTCTCTTTGTGGTCGTTTGTGTGACTGTGTAGCCTTTTTGGGCATTTTCTTGGTAGTTTTGTGCATTTGTTGGGCATGCTTCATGTGTCTTTTTTGTCATTTTATGTCGTCGTGGTAATTTTGTCATATCTAATCTTTGTGTATGTTTTTTGTGTCTTTGTGGTCATTCTGTGTCTCTTTAGTGTTGGTTTGTGTCTCTTTGTAGTCTGTTTGGTCATTTTGTGTCTGTTTTTGGTAGTTTTGTGTGTTTTTACAGTCATGTTGGGTCTCTTTAGGTTTGTTCCTTGAGTCTGTTTGTTCGTTATGTCTCATTTTTTAGTGTTTTTGCACAGCTGTGTGGACGTTTCGTGTTACTTTATGGTCACTGTTTGCCATTTAGTTGTCATTTAGTGTCGTCTTGCTGTCATTTTGCACATATATATGGAGCCTTTGTGTTCATTTTGTGTCTCTGGGTTTGTTTTATATGTCTGCATGTATGTGTGTGCAAAAATCAATCTTTTTTTATTACTTTTTTTATTTATTTTTTTGCTCTTTTTCAAAAACTCCCGTCTGAAACGAGGCAGCCTTACCCTCAGCACCGACCCGTGAGCCTCCCAGTAAAACCAGTGTCCTCGCGCCGGCTGCTAATGAGCTCCGCTGGAAGACGGGAGGATTAGCATTTAGTTCGAGTGCACCTGAAGCAGCCTGGCTCTCCGTCTTCCAGGTTTTCTCAGCTGGGGGAAGGATTTGAGGGGAAACGGTCCAACCAGACGCTGGCGGTTGTGACTTTCTGAATGTCTCGGGGAAACTTCACACGGTGTCGTTTGTCAGAAACTTGATGGGAAACGCTAAAATGAATGAGTGTTTCTTGGGATTTCTTCTGCTCCTGTTGTATTTTTACAATGCGGCGCCGTTTTATTTCCATAAATCATAAACGGATAAAAGTTAAATTTCTCTGATTTTTAATGTTACAGGAAAATAAAACAAACAAACCTGGAAGCAGCAAATCCAGGATTTTTCCAGGTGCTCACATGTGTACAAAAAACAAAGCTATATTTTATAGATATTTTACTATTTTGATTTTTTTGATAAACACGTTTCTTGGTTTTTACATCAACAAATTACATTTAAGTTGTTTTCCAGCATATAAAAACCATAAAGCAAGCCTAATGACAGTATACAAAAAATAATAAATGGTTAAATAAAATAAAACGACACATATAAACACACACATACTTCAAGATGAAATGTGCCAAAATTCAGAGAATATAGAAGATTAAACTTGTTTTCAGCAAAGTTTTCAGTCTTCAATCTCAACACAACAGAAATAAAAAAAACGAGGACAAATGTATAGACGCGTCTAAATCGACATATTTCTCTCACTAAAATTAAAATTAGTTTAAGGTTAACATCCTTTTCTGCTTCAATTTTTAAACTGTTCAAACGCTGCCTGCAGTTCAGCCCAAACAGCCGGGGCAGATTTTCCCTGTCGTTTGCGGTGAGAAGCACAAAATATTTATTTTTTCTTCTCATAATGTGGTTCGAGATTAAGCTTATATTTGGTTAATTTTTCCAACACGGTGTCGCGTCACAAATGAGCAGCTCCAGGATCTTCAGAAGATCAGACCAGTTTTTACAGTTTCTGTCTCTGACAAGCAGTGTGATTTGAAGGTTTTTTTAAGATAACACGTCTTTCAGAAGTTGGTGGTTGGTTTTGGAGTTCACAGGATAAAAATTAACATTTAAACATTATTAAAAAACAAACACAAAATAGCGTACAAATGCCCGTCTGTACTGTTTTTTTTTGTTTTTTTTAAAAAGCTTTTTAAACTCGTTTCAGAGCATCACCGCTGAAACAGCGTCAGTCCTCCTGACGTCTGCAGTTCATTTAGAGACTCGACTGAAAGCGTTCAGAAACACTCTGCAGCTGAGTCCGTTTCCCATCGTTGACCCAGTTTCTGTTTTGAAAGGTTTCTGAGACGTGATGCTAAATAAGAGACAGAAAACTGGTTTATTGGCGGTCGCAGAGAAACTCTGAACCTCCACTCAGAACACCTTAACTCTAATAAAACCTCCAAGTGCTCACAGGCGTAAGAAAAAGCTCTATATACAGCAGATTGTTTACTGCTTAGATTTTCAACTTGTGTCCATGCCTTTCAAACACTGCCTGCAGTTCAGCCGAGACAGCCGGGTCAGATTTGCCTGTCATTTGTGGCGAGAAGCACAATGTTTGTGTGTAATATCTAACACTCTGAGCCTCCACCTAGAGGAGCTTAGCGCTAATGAAACCTCTCTCCTCCCGCCGACAGACCCCTGCCTCTACATTCCTCGCTTCGCCCAGCTGCTGGAGTTTGGCGAGAAGAACCACGAGGTGTCGATGACGGCGTTGCGACTGGTGCAGAGGATGAAGAGGGACTGGATGCACACCGGACGGAGGCCGTCGGGACTCTGTGGAGCAGGTAGCCGCGATATAAACCCGAGAAAAGTCAAACGCCGCCTTTTAGAAAACCTGGTCAACGAAGGGAGTTGATACCCAGTGTGGTGACATCCCTGACTGGGGTTTTAGGTTTTTGCTGAGCTGGCTAACTCAAAGAAAGTCGGGATTTGTTAAAACTGCTTTGTAGAACACTTGCTATCCTGCTCTCCCTACTCTCACCCAACCAGTCGAGGTCTTCCCTGAGCCTGGTTCTGTCGGAGGTTTTTTTCCCCCTATTAGAGTTTTTTTTTTTTTTTGGTTCCTTCCCACCGCCTGCTCAGAGGAAATCCAAAGGGAGCGTTGGATTGTTGGGTTCTCTGTTTAAATGTGTATATTAAGCGCTGTGAGATGACATATGTTGTGAATTATGCTCTGTAAATAAAATTCAATTGTATTAAATCGAATTGTAATGAAAGCGACAAAGGAGCAAACTGAACATGCAAAGTTCTGATCGACTCGAGGATGTTTGTTTAGCGTCACTTTTAACAGCCAACTCCTGTTTTCTGAACGTTCTCGGGCCTTTTTCTGGTCTGAACTCTTCACGTCCGCCTGGTCGTTGAGTCCTGGTTCAGGTGAAGCTCAGAACCCGACAACGGCGAAACCCGAAGCAGCTTCCTGCATGTTTACGCTCGCCGTTTTAATTCTCTTCTGTTGCTCTGCTGCATCGCCTGAATAATTAATCGCTCGTCATAAATCATTGAGGAGGACTCGACTCGGCTGGAAGCAGGGAAAGTTTGTCCCGAAATGTGATGCAAAAAAATAAAAAAGCGCCGGTGTGGACCGAAGCAGAAACACGTAAAAGTTTCCCTCAGGACGGATGAATGTTTAAATCCTGGACAAAGAGGTTGTGAATGCGATAAATGACGGAGGCTTTTCAAGGCAACGGCGACGAAATGTTTGCCAAAGTCCTCGGCGGAGCTAAAAGCCGCCACTCGGCTCCGAGAGGCTGCTGGAAGTGTGCATGTGGAAGCAGGAGCAGGCATCTATCTTTTAACAGGCTCTCGAGCGAAGGCAAGTCTAATGACGGTTACATAACTGTTCCCCTTCAAGGCTCGTGCTGCAACTCATTGCATAATATTAGTGTTGTTGTTACTCCTTTTTAAAACTGTGTTTTTGTGTGTGGGGGCGGACTGCCGGCTGCTGCCGTCCTTCAGTGTTTCAGGTGGAAACGCAGAGAAAACACCTCAAAACTAAACATGTTACTGAGTGTTTGAGTCACAGGTTTGGCCTCTGCTCTCGTTTATGTGTCAACATGTTGAGATATAAGAGAAAAATGGAAGTCCTTCCTATGTTCTGCTTTTTTTTTTTGTTTTTGTTTTGCAAGTTTATTTGTAAGTGCTTGATTTTTAACCCTCTCAACCCCAAAATCTAACATGAGGTTTGAAAGGCATGTTAACTTTTAAAAAAAATCACTAAAATTACACCATTTATCAGAGCCAGAAACTGTAAAAACAAGAAAAATCCAAATGAATCATGTGAGTTGTGCTGCTCTGTCGGGAAAATCTACCAAAGCTAAGCCTAAAATTGACATTCAGTTTGCTTTATTCTACATATCTTGGCCAAAATATTCACCAAAGTTCACACCAATTTGCTATAAATGCCAATGACATCACCTTTCTCCATCCAGGAGGAGTATAAACATTTCATCTGATGTTATCTTGTTCATCACATGCAGTCTTTAAGGTGGAAATTTAGACAAATCTCAAAACTGAACATAATATTTCAGTGTGTAAATCATGTATTTGCCTCTGCTGTGATGTGACTCAGTCATTCATATGGACTTATAATTAGATAATCTGCAGAAAATGCAAATCTTTTTTCTATTTTCTGTTCTTTTGTGTTGATTTTACACTTAAAAAATATCTTTTAACAAAGCCTTCTTCTAGCACCACCTACTATGATGTCTGTACCAGCTTGATTTTAGCCCTCCGGCATGTTGTCTTTATTTAAAAATCATCAAAATTACACCATTTATCAGAGCCACAAACTGTAAAAACAAGAAAAGTGGGCAGATTTCCAACTTTCCGTGTGAGATGTGCTGTTCAGTCGGGAAAATTAACCAAATCTGAGCTTAAAATCGTCATATTTGATCAAAATCCTTTTTTATTTTACACGTCAAAATAAAGAGTTTGCACCAGTTACTGTAAAAAACCCAAAAAATATGTGAAGAATATCCTGCTTTTTCTAGTTTTTAGCCAGTTGTTGGAACAAAACAGGACATATTAAGGCATCACTTTGAGTTTTTCTAACATCAGACTACATGAATAACACAGAAAATAATCAGCACATTAAACCTCTAAACCCCTAAAACCTGTGAGGAGGTTTGAAAAGCCCCTTTTCTTCAATATATTTCAAAAATTAATTTGTTTATTGGAGCCACAAACTGTAAAAACAGGAAAAATGTCAGATTTTTAAGTGGCTGATTTGCTATTCTGTTGGCAAATTGAACCAAATCTGCAGCAGATTCTGTAAAAAAAAAGAACAGTTCTGCATTTATAGACGCAGCTGAGAACCGCCGAGTGACTGATATCATTTTTATGTTAATATTCAATCACTTTGAGCTGCATGTTTTCTATGAAAGGTCAAGACTTACCGTCATCGCTGGTTGTTTCGTTGCTTAAATATCGTCTCGTCGTGTTTTTTTTTTTTTTTTTTCAGCTCTCCTTGTTGCCGCTCGTCTCCACGACTTCCGCCGCACCATCAAGGAAGTCGTCAGCATCGTGAAAGTTTGCGAAACGACGCTGAGAAAAAGGCGAGTGGACGACGTCTATGATTTCAGTCTGATGGAAATGTTGGAAACTTTTGGTCGTAGAGGCGCCGAGGATTCCTCACGTGTGACCCGGAGATGAATCGGCTTTCGCTTCTGCTTTGTGTTCAAATCTTAATCAGGTTGGTCGAGTTCGAGGACACGCCCACCAGTCAGCTGACCATCGAGGACTTCATGAAGGTGGATCTGGACCAGGAGTGCGACCCGCCTTGTTTTACCGCCGGACTGAAGAAGCTCAAAGCCCAACAGGTGACGCCGCAAGAACACCTTTTGATCTCGCAAAGCAATACGTTTTGAGTTTTAGCCAGTCGATGGAACCAAACAAAACATTTCAAGGTGTCATTTTGGGGTTTTTCTACTTTTAAACTGCACGATTAACCGAGAAAATACTGTGAGCTGGTTTAAAAGGTGGCTTTTCTTTATAAACATGTCAGAAAATCAACCGTTTGTCGGAGCTAGAAACTCTGAAAACAAGAAGAAATGTCCGATTTTCAGCTTTCTGGTCGTCCTTCAACTTGCACCTTTCTCTTTGGAAAATAAAACCAAATATCCTCCAGAATCTGAGAATGTGCTTACAGTCTAGTTGTTAGAACAAAGCAAAACGTTTTAAGGTATCATTTTTTCTACTGGTAGACTACACGACTAACTGAGGAAATACTTTGCAGATTGAGCTTTAGAATCCCAAAATACTGAGAGCTGGTTTAAGAGTTGTCTTTTCTTTATAAAAACTGCAAAAAAAATCCACCCTTTATCAGAGCTAGAAATTCTAAAACCAGGAAGAAATGTCGACATTCATGTGTGATGTACCAAAGTAGAACCAAAATTAAGTTTAAAACCGTCATATTTCATCAAAATATCCACCCAAATTGGAGAATTTGCCATTTTTCAGTATCTTGCAATCTTGTAAATGTGTTGAATTTTAAGAACAAAGCGAAACATTTTAAGTTCATTTGGATCCTAAGATTCAGACTATTTATTTTTGTTGAAGTCTTGAAAGTCATTTAGATTAAATATCACCATTTGAAGCCTATTCTTCTTTTTTTTCTGAGAGAAACCGACATCACACATGGCATGTTGAGGGATCACTAGAAAGCTAAAAATCACTAGAAAGCTAAAAATCGGACACATTTTTTAAAAACATTTTCTGTCTCCGACAAACGATTGAATTTCTGCAGTTTTTACAAAGAAAAATGTCTCCTCTGAACCAGCCAAGTTGGTTTTCGGGTTCCGAGGTTCAATCCGCTGATTATGTTCTGTGTAAATTATGTGATCTCGTAGTAAAAAAAATTTCAGAGAACCCAACATTAAAGATTGTTTTGTTTTCATCAGAAAGCTAAAAATCTGACAAATTTTATTGTTTTTACTTTTTCTGTCTCTGACAAACGGTTGAATTTTTGTAATTATTTAAAAAGAAAATATGTCTTTCAAACCTGCCGAGTTGGTTTTAGGGTTCTGAGGTTCATTCTGCGAGAACCCAGCCTGAAACCTTAAAATGTTTTGTTTTGTTTAAGATACAGCATTTATTAGAGCGTAAGATAATGAAAAGCAGCAAATTCTCAGGTTTGGGTGGATGTTTTGATGAAATATTCTGATTTTAAGCTTAATTTCAGTTATTTTTGGAGAACTGTCAAAAAATTTTTTTTTAAAAAGGAAAAACCATCAGATTTTCTGCTTTCTAATCGTCTTTTTAAACATATTGTGCAGTTTTATCTTGAAAAATGACCAAAAACAAGCATAAAATCATGATATTTCTTCCAAATCACTGTCATATTAAATAGCGGTTTCACCAGACAGTGTGAATAAACAATTATGTGTTCCTCAGCGCGGAGAAGAAACACTAATTAAATAAATCTGATATGATTTTCCTTTCCTTTTACGGAGGAGCTTCGCCCAAAAATGAGCTCAATGTTCTCACTGTGTAACAGAAAAAGGCAGAACAGGGACACAGGAAGTATAATGAGAGTTAATCATGTTATTGTTGCGGCGTACAAAGAGTTTAAATGTGTCTCAAACCAGCAGCATCAAGTCAAACTGGCTCCACTTCCTGCCTCAATATGTTCTTTTATTCTGCTTTACTCTGGTTATCGTCTCTTCCCTCCAGCTGGAGATGGAGCTGAAGAAAAAGATCGACGACGTCGCAGGTATGAAACCTTTGTTTAATGAATTTGTTAAACTTATTCAACACGTAGACACAGACGGAGTTCGGTTGTTTTCTTCAACTAAATCAGTGTTGGATGTGTGCGAAAGGAAAAGTTCAGAGAGGAAGGAGCTCCCTGGTTTTTTTTTTTTTTTTACATGATTTCACTTCTGCACAACATGCAATTAACCGTACGCTACGTTACGACATATTATCGTGTAATTATGGATCCAGGGAGGCGGATTCTCAGAAGAACACAAAGTCGGCATCACTTTAGGGAACAGTTCCTCCGTCTGCTCCCAGTCCTGCTCTTCAGGGTTCGTCTTTTTATAGTCCAAGCGATGTGCTCACATTTTTTTATTTTAGCAAAGCGTCAAAGCGTCGGTGTACAGTTTGGAAACCTGAACATGGAGCCAGAAACGTGGCAGCTGCTTGGTTTACTTTGTATCCTGCGTCCTGTCGGGTCAAGGATCTACGAGAATACAGTCATGAACAAAGTTTGCATTCGCTTGTAAAGACGTCTTGACTTTCCAATGACTCCTATAACTCTGAAAACACTGACATGCATGAATCTTGGTCTCAAACAGTCCTGCTTTTTGGTTCTTTTATAGATTTATTAAAGGTCTTTTGGAAATATGACTAAACCTGCCGTGTCATACATACAGAAATGCTAATATTCGGTTAAATGTCTTTGGGCCATTTTCGCCTCAACTAGACTCTTTTGGTTTCCGTCCACAAGCTTCTGGTGCAGAATTCGTGCAGTTAAACTAAACTTGTTGTTGGGTTTAAGTCAGGATTTTGGACAAACCAGTCTAGAACCTTCATTCCAGCCTGATTGAACCATTTCTTTAGCACTTTTGATGCGTGTTTGGACTCATAGTCTTGTTTAAACACCCAGCTCCGTCCAAGATCAACCTTCTGATGATGATTTAAGGTTTTCCTGAAGAATGTGGAGGTGATCCTCCTTCTTCTTCTCCACTGGTGATGCTGCCACCACCGTGCTTGAGCGCTGGGTGTCGAGTATCACTGCACAAGTCGACGACCAAGACAGGGAAAGCGAGCAGATGTTTATACCTCCTGAAGCACATCATCAAGCAGGATTAAATGTACATCATTGTGTTAGCATGCTAACAATCAGCCTAAGCTACAGCCGACTGATGGACGATTTTTTGATTAACCTCCGACCGTTTTGATGATTAATTAATCAGCTTGTGTAACTTCTCTAAAAATGTTTATCTTCAACAGACGAAATTCAAGAATATCAGGATGAAATCGACGCTGAGCTCGAGAGCAGCCGACCCAAACTGAGAGGCGTTTACGCCGCCTACACGAAGGAAGGTGAGCAATTTCAGAAGCCGTCTTGGGAACATGTTTAGATGACCAACATGGGCAGTTGAAGAGCTGCGTATTTATCAGGAGAACAAACTAGAATCCTGAACCAATATGAGGAGTTTTACACTATGAAGCTGCAGCCAAAACCACGCAAGAACGCTGACGAAAAAGGATGGACTCAGACGGGGACGGCGGCTAAATGTTTGCTTGGTTTTTAAATTGACCTTTTTGGTTGCGCTCATACAGCACATTATGAAGCAGAGTGAACTTATATCAGTGTGTCATGAGAGTGATCTATGACAGTAAACAGACATTTGTCATGTTGGAATTTTGACATTTTATAAGCCAAACAACTAATCGATCGATCGAGAAAACAATCGACAAATTGATAGACAGTGAGAATAATCTCTAGCTGCGGCCAAACTGTGAGGAAACAAACTGCAGATTCTGTTTCCTGGAAATGAAAAGTTGAATTCAGGAGCAGTAGAATTCTGTCTTGCTCAGTTCAGCCCAGTCAGGAGTTCTGCAGCTACAGCTGGACACTGAGCCGCATCGATTAATCAATTAGCTGTCGACTAATAAATGAGTCTCCAACTATTTTGATTATTATTTAATCGGTTTAAGTCAAAATCCTTTAATTTCTGGTTCTTAGATGTGAATATTTTCTGGTTTATTTCCTCCTCTGTGACTGTAAACTGGAGATCTTTGAGTTGTGGACAAAACAAGACATTTGTCATGTTGGAATTTTGACATTTTTTACTATTTTCTGACCAAACAGCTAACCGATTAGTCGAGTAATGGATCCACACATGAATCGACGATGGAATGAATGGTCAGTTGCAGGATTAATGCAGCTTAAACCAACGTTTTCTGATTCCAGAAGTCGTCCCTCAGCGTCCTGATCTATTAAACTCTCTTGTAACAAACATCTCTGCTTCATTTAGCTGCTGGCGCTGCTACAGACTGTAAAATAATTTCACAGCAGGAGATCTGAGCAGCAACCCGACAAGTTTGCGGCTCTGAAATGAAAACAGCAGCAGCAGCAGCAGCATCGCAGCCAGATGTTGGTTTACTGTGCTGAACCTTTACTTCCAGCCTCCCGTCACTCTTCATCTCTTCCTACCTTTGCCTCTTTATCTTCGGCTCGGTTAGTCTTTTCTTTCCCACACAAACACTCGTCGTTCCATCCCGGTCGGGGGCCGCCGCTGACTTCAGCCTCCTCCAGCCTCCTCCAGCCTCCTCCAGCTGCTTCCAGCAAAATTCTTCTCGTCGGTTTTTGTGACTCATTTTAATTACCGCTGATTAAAGGACACGTTTTAATTAGACGCCAGGACGGCCGCAACTACGATCCCAATTATTTTGTCAGAATGTGAACATTTATCTCGGTTTCTCTTCTCGGGAACAGAATAATTTCACTTTTTCATATCAGTATCTCGACCATTTTTAACTCTTGTGGCTCCTCTTAGTGCAGAAAATGTGTGTTTTTTAAATTTTTTTTAGTCGTACAACTATGAGATGCAGCCTTTTTATTCCGCACGGAAACTGAGGAGTTCTGAACTGCATAACGATACGCAGCTTTAACACAAAAAAAACACAAAAACGGACTCACAAATACCTTCAGGTTGCATCTGCTGAACCACAAACGTGTCATTAAACCCTCTGAACTCCTGCTTTTCTTGCTGCTGTCGCATTTTCATTCACTGTCGGCCTCATGTTTCACTGGACGACCACAACTGTGAACCCAATGATTCTGTCAAAATGTGATCCAGAGAACAGAATAATTCCACTTTTGTCAGTGTTCACATCAGCATCATGACCATTTTTAACTTCCACGGCTGCTCTTCTGTGGAGACAAATGTGTGTTTTTTCTTTTTCTGGACAATTTTTAAATTCTTACATCACATCGACGTTATACTTTTTTGCTCAAACACACTAAAAGCAGCCCAAAAACGTGTCATTACACCCTCAGAACTCCAGTTTTTCCTGCCGCTGTCACACTTTTACTCGCTGTTGGCCTCATTTTTCACTGCAACCAGGACCAACGCAGCTATGAACCCAAAGATTTTGTCCAAATGTGATCCGGGGAACAGAATAATTCCACTTTTTTTTGATGTTTACATCAGCATCATGACCATTTCTAACTTCAATGGCTGCTCTCGGTGTAGAAAAATGTGGGTGTTTTTTCTTTTTAATGGAAAAAGTGAGGAAAACCGTGACATTAGCAAAAAACACTAGGAGTTCAAAGGGGTAAAATTTAAAAAAATAATTAGATAAAAAAGGCGATTACACTAATTTTGTTCCTGTTGAATGCACCGTAAACACAAAAGCTTCCTCGTGCAACCTGGAGTGCATAAATTCTAAATTACTAATACTGCATTTTAGCTCAACTTCACTTTATTGCGTCTTGTTGCGGAGTTTATGACTCCTCAAAGATCGAAAAGTCTGCAGCTCATAGTTTTCCAATTAAAAATAGTCCAGTGAGAGAAAAACAAACAAACACGTTTTTCTGCACCAAGAGCAGCTGCAAAGGTTAAAAATGGTCAGAATGCCGCCACAAGTGAGAAAAACAGTAAAATTATTCTGTTCCCACAATCACAGTTGCACAAAATCTTTAGGATCGTAGCTGCGTTGGTCCTGGTTGCGCCGAAAGCCGTGACGGCGGCAAGAAAAACTAGAAAAATGAAACAAGAAAATGTAACCTGAAGGTATTTGTGAGGTTGTTTTTAGTGTGTCTGAGCAAAACGAAAGCTTTAAAAAGTCTAAATTCGATGTGATTTAACAATTCAAAACAGTCCAGTAAAAGAAAAACCCAACACATTTGTCTCCACAGAGAGCAGTCATGGAAGTTAAAAATGGTCCAGATGCTGATGTAAACACTGACACAAGTGGAACTATTCACTTTCCCAGATCACATTTAGACAAAATAATTGGGTTCATAGTTGTTCGTCCAGTGAAACATGAGGCCGACGGTGAGTAAAAATTTGACAGCAGCAAGAAAAACTGGAGTTCAGAGGGTTTAATGACAAGTTTTAGTTTTAGAAGACGCAACCTGAAGATATTTATGAGGTATTTTAGTGTGTCTGAGCAAAACGAAAGCTTTAAAAAGTCTAAATTCAATGTGATTTAATTCTTTGCTGTTGTCTAATTCATGACTTCTCAGTTTCCACGAGGATTAAATGGCTGTATTTTAGTTTTTTTTTCAATTTAAAACAGTCCGGTGAAAGAAAAAAATGGTCAAGATGCTGCCACAAGTGGGAAGTAACTGGGGTGGTGGTTGTTCCTGTAGTGGTGACAGTGAAAAATGAGGCAAACTGGGTGAAAATGTGGAATTAAGAGGGTTGAATGGTAAGTTTTGGGTGTAAAAGATGTACCCTGTTGACATTAGTGGGAGAGGTGCTTTGTGCGGCAGTTTTTCGCGTCTGCTCACCAGCAAGACATCTTTAAAAAGGATCAATTCAAAGCGATTCAACTGTTTATTCATTCCTCTTCAGATGTTGACGCGCTCTCCTCGCCGTCGTCTAAGCTGGCCGACGGCGACGACCCAGAGGAGGACGACGAACTCCAGGCCGTCGCCCAACACTTTGGCCGAGACCTGGAGGAGCTCACGCTGGAGGCTCTGATCAAGCTGGAGCAGAAGAGACCGGAGGACCAGGACGAGGAGGAGGACGTCCCGCGGAGGAAGGGCCCGTCGCTGGAGTCCATCCTGGGACCGATGCCGACGTCGGCCACCCTCGGCCTCCCCGAGTCCTTCAACACCTGTGTGGCCAACGAGAAGAACTGTGAGTACGACTCTTTTTATTGCATTTTGTTGTTTGTGCCGTTTTTTAGATTTAGAAGCTCCTCCTGCTTCGTATCAATCAGAAAGATGAAACCTCATCGAGTGAAGCATCAAACGTTGGAGACTAAATCAGAGAACATCGCACCGTCTGCGTCGCCGTAGCAGTCCGTAATCACGCCGAAGAATGCGCTCTCAGGTTTAATTGTCGTAATTAACTCCCCTCGGCTGAGCTGTGTGTGAAATCCGTCCTCCCTTATTATGTTTCTCGTCCCCACAGCGCTCTCGCATACATGAAGGGAATGTGTGGGAGATTTCTCCACCACTGATGTGGCTTCTTGAGCTGGTTCGCGTTTCTGCGGCACATTTAAAGATTCCTCCATTTAAAAATCGTCTCTCAGTTTGTTTGGAGAGTTTTGGGAGCATTTCTGTTTTTTTTTTTTTTTTTAAAAATACAATTTTACTTGTTTTTACAATTTTACGCTCTTTTCTCCCTTGAACTCCACTGCTGGTTGTTGGTTTTACACTTCAAAACTCATCTCCTTGTATTAAAGTTACATATTATTGCTGTTTTTTAACATGGAAATAACCCCTTCCTGCCTTATAAGAGGTAAAATCTGGATTTTCTTGTACACAAGTTCGCCATCATGTCCGAGTCAGACATATTCGTGCAACTATTTCTCTGTTATTCATGTCTTTTAGTTGGGAAGCGGTTGTTTTTAATGCAGTTTTACTACAGTTTTTCCAATTTCAGGCTCTTTTCTTTCTTAAACGTGCTCTGATTTTTGATTTAACCCTTAAAATCTCATCTATGTGTATCAAAGTTACACATTTAGAGGTTTTCTCCCATTAAAATAATCCCTTTCTGCCTTAAAAAAGGTTAAAAAAAACCTTGATTTTCTTGCTTTAATAACACTATTTCTTTGTGTGTTATGCAGCAATGTCGGCTTGTTTAGACCATTTTTGGGGTTAGTTCTGCATCCACAAGCTAGAGAGAGACGTGTTCGAGCCGCTGTTTCTCTGTAATTTATGCCTAATTTATTGAGAAGTGTTCACTCAGATTGAGTTTTTCTAGACAATTTTACTCCAATTTTTCTCCCTTGAAGTCCATCTCTGGTTGTTTTTACCCCCCAAAGCTCATCTCAGTGCATCAGAGTTACTTATTTAAAGTTTTTTTTTCCTGCTTCCTGCTTCAAAAAGGTGATTTTGGATCCCATCAATTGTATAATATAATTTTATAATAATAAAAATAGCAATAATAATACTTATTTAGAGCTTTTCCAGGTGCTCAAAGACGCTTTACAAAGTAGGTAACAACAAAATAAACAAACAAAAGGTTGTTTTCATGTAACTTTATACATAAATTAGTCGTATTATTGGCCTTTAATGTTTAAAAAAATTAAAGTTAATGTATTTACCTTTGAAAAAAATGGGAAACCAGTTATTAATCAAATACTCTTGGTTGTAATAAAACAAATAAATGTGACATATAAATTATTTTTTTTAAATGTTATTTTACATTAAACATGTTATTTAAATATTTTTGCATATTTTAAAATGTGGACTAAAAAAACAAACCAGCTTTATTTTGTGTCGTGACACAAAGTGCTTTACAACAAAATAGTAATAATAATAATAATAATAATAATAATAGTAAAAAAAAGCATTAAAAGGCAACAATTGGAAATTTTCAGTAAACTAAATGTTTTTTAAGACGTGCACGAATCAAACAGTCGTCTGAGTTAAAGTGATTCTGCAGTTAAAGATATAGCTGATTGATTGTTGTTTATCGGTTCATGGACTTGGCGATTAATCGATAGACGATCAATAACGTCCCTGAAATGCAGTAGCCTTTGTCTGATTCCTGTGAGGACCAGTGAAACACACTTTGCTGCTTTTCTGTTTCCTACCTTGTGTGTGAGTTTTGTTTACGAACAAACTGAGAGAAAACAGGAAACCAGCAGCAGGACGGATTATCACCAAAATAAAGCGTCATGGGAGGCCTATAATGAGCCAATTAGTCCAGCAGGAAGCTCTGCGCCGCCGCCACGCCCTCCTGATCTGCTGGCTGATGAAGCTGCATCTGTCCTGATGAGGAAACCTGCGATTTTGTGGCTCTGAGTCGGAGCTCAAGTGTGTCTTCGTGGATCAGAGCTGAAGCGGTTTGGAGGAAATACCCAGCAGACGCCTCGTTGTGTCCGTAAATATTGACCTTAAAAGAGTTTGGAGCTCTTCAACTTTCCCTCTCGTGTCCCTGAACAACACTTCCGAGCAGGTGGATGATCCTGAAGGCCGTAAACTGTCTGTAATTTGGGTTCTGTGTCCATGACGGAGGGTTCGAAATGCAGCCAAGAAAAGGAGAACTGCACATAAGAACGTGTTTTATTTTGAAAAATGTCCAACATTGCGTTTCCATCCATCCATCCATCCATCCATCCATCCATCCATCCATCCATCCATATTCAGGTTGTGGATGAAACATTTGTCATTTCTCACCATTTTCTGACATTTTTATTGTCCGCTAACTGGTTAAAACATAAATAAAGGGATTCTTCGCCATATTCCATATAATTTTTTTTTATCTTTAAATGCATCAGCGCGAGCCTTAAATTTCTCGCCGTCTGTGAAAACATCCGTATGGGAGGTCGAGGCGGCCATTAACCTGATGAAAACGTCGGCCGGCGATCGCGTCATGACGGAAACCCTGAATCATGAGCTCTTATGTTAATTGTCAACGCGTCTCCGTTTTTATCTTTTATTGGTTTTGTTGGAGGATGACGTCGGTTTGAGTCATCTCTCTCCATCGGTTGTGTCGCGAGGCTCATCGTTTGTGGCGGCGAGTGACAAAAACCGGCATTAAAAATGAGAAACGGCCCGTGATTGAAGGGTTTAATTGTCGGTTGGTGGGTCTGGAGGCCGACCTCGGCGGGGAGCCGTGTGATTAGAGGGGAGTCACTCCGTCCCCCCAGTCTGACTGCTCTCTGTCTGCTTATGAGGGTTCAGATTAGTTTATTTATATTCACAGTGTTAAAAAACAGTCATTTGTGGCTGCTTTGCTTTAATTACAGTCAGTTTTTGCATTAAGAAAAGATGAAAAACAGCTTTAGTAGTTTCACATTTCGACAGCTTTGCGGTCTTTTGCAGTCCCACGAGTCTGGCTCTCGTCTTCTCTGGTTGCTTATGACTGTTTAAAGTAGTTTATTTACATTTACAGTGTTAAAGATCAGCCGTTTGTGGCAGCATGTGTGTTCTCTGCTTAACTTACAATCAGTTTTCACATCAAAACATGAAAAATTGCTTTAGTGTTTTCACGTTCGCACCATTCAAGTCTGTCTCTTTTACTTTGTGGGGTTTTCTTCAGGTGAAAACAGTCCTTTGTAGCTGATTTCTTCACTTGTCACGTTAAAAATTAGAAAATACCTTCATGTTTTCTACCGTTGCAGTGTTTTTAGTTTGTTTTTCTGCCTCTATGCGTTGTCTCTCTGACACAAAAACCCACAAACAGTGATTTTAACCCCGGTGGTTTTTGTTCCTGTCACGTTTTTTAGTTTAAATCATCACTGCAATATAAAGTCCTGCAGCTTTATGGGAACAGAACAAGCATGAAGAAGGAGAGAAATGTCTTCTGTGCAGAATGACACAAATATAATGAAAGACAGACAGTTGGAAAGTTGAACATCTGACAAATTTTCAGATTTTGCAGTTTCTCGCTCTGGTAAATTGTTTAATTTTGGTGGTTTTGAGACACAATAATCAGAGGGTTAATACACTGCCACCTGGTCTGTAGTGTTATTTTATTCCTATGTTGCTCTAAGTATAAAAGGAAAAAAGATTAAACTGTTGTAAACATCAATAACACACTTGTTTTTGTGGATGTGTTCACAGTTTAAGCACAACAAACACTGAAAACCTGCGTAGATTAGCATGTAGCATGGGATGGAAGTGACAGAAATTAGCCGTGATGCTAGTTAGCATCATAGAACCGGATGTATTTAACTAATTGTAATTTAATCGGTTTTTAATTTCACGTTTAGTTTGTCATGTTTTGACTTAAAGAATTTAACCTTCTGCAAGTTTTTCTCTGCAATCAGGCTAATTAGTGTCGTTTTTAACCATTACTGCGCCACCGTGAACCGAAGGAAACACATTTTTTTTTTTTGTTGGGTAACGTTTGCCGTGTGCCGACACATGTGCCTAATTATCGTTGAACTGTGCGACCAGCGCGAGCCCTCGTCTGTTTACGGATCTGCAGCTCTGTTTTTGTTTGGAGGCCGGTTACTGGGAGGTTCTGCCGCTGGTCCTGGTTTGGTTCAGGCTTCGGCTAATTGTGGTGGATGCAGGAGGCTCGGTGACCCCCCCCACACACACACACACGCACACAGCTCCATCTTTGAAGTATTAAGTGGACCGGGTACCTTGTCATTAGGGCCGAGGCTTTCATCTGCAGAGTGTGGACATTGTTAGCGGAGGGCAGGGCGCTGGAGGAAGTGAAAGAAGCTGTAATTTTGGAATCTCTCTGGAAAAAAAATGGGAAAAAAAAACAACAAAGACCACAGTGATGGTTCTGGAACAAAGTCGCTGTTTGATCCGCTTCAGTTTTGAGGAAGATGGAAATACAGACGCCCACACAAGAGCTGTTTGTGTGTTTATTGTAGTGGCAGTTTCTCCACCTTGTTCATTTTTATTTTAAGGTTTTTTTGTTTTTTTTTTTCAAAACGCCACTTTGGCTGCCGAGGTTAGTTCGAGGCTTTTTCAACAACGTCCCGCCGAGGAATAAACGATTCCACCGAGGCGCGGGTTCGCAAGCACGCAATCGAAAAACTGAAACACGCAAAATGAACTGAAACAGCGTCCACGTTGACTGAAATTCAGACATTCACAGACCACCATCGTCCTTGACCTGCTCCACCCACATATAATAAAGACGCCTACACGGAACTAATAAGAGCAAAATATAAGAAAAAAATCAATTAAATTTTGCATTTGTGATTCACATAAGACGGT